CTAAAGAGTGAAGCGCCTTAAGAACATCTTCACTATCTAGCGTTATATTGGAAAGACAAGGTACACTCATGCTGTCGTTCAACGGGTGTGAAACGGTGGTATAAATACTATTATCACAGGCATTAAAAGTAGAATGAAAAAAGGTATTAAATATGTTGGCCTTAGAAATAGAATCAGTAGCAGTTATATTTCCATACGATATAGTATTAGGAATTCTGTTTGTCTTATTTAAAGCCTTATAATAGGACCAAAAACGTTTAGGATTAGATTTCAAGTCCTGACCAAGTTGTTGACATGCTGGTGTTTTTCTGACCATGTTGATGACATGTTGGTGTTTTTCTCGCGAAGTATTTTATTCTCATCCCTTAGGTCTTGATTTTCTTTCATTAATTGATTGGCTATCTCATTCGTAGCGACACTCTCATCATTACTTATTAAAGTACTGTTACTTTTAGCCATCTTAAGTTCATTAACTTCAGATGCAAGATTGTCGATTTTCAAATTTGTTGATTCGATAAACTTTTCCATTTTGCTTTTAAATTCTATTTGTGAATTGTCTACTTGTTGAGTGGTTGCTTGTGACGCTTGAGTGATCACCGTACCCAGGGGACTGTTTGCATTAGCCTGTAGGGTATGCAAATTATCTCCTCCTATGGAACAGCTGTTTGCTGGAATTTTTTCAATAACATTAGGAATAGCTTCTTCGCATTGAATTTCATCAACAAATGGCCGGTTAACATCATTTACGTCGCTCGAGTCATTAATATTCAAAGTCAAAGTAACATGTGTCTCTTCAATATGGCCGTCTTGCTTCGATGCTTCTTTTCCAGTTTCATTTGCCAGCTTCCCCGATATTATGGCAGCAGAACTGAATATCTCTCCGATTTCATCTTTTAGTTTACCATTTAAAGTGATTGTTTGTGTATCGGGATACCATCGAAGATCAATATCTTCGGATTTAAACTGTTTAGCACCTCCTCCGGGGCAGCACCATCCGCCATCAGCTAAATTCAATATTTCTTCTACAAACTTCTGTAAATCTTGTAAGGATTTTGTCCAAATCAACTTGCCTTTGTTGTTGAATGATACACCATGCAGCTTCAATCTTAAAAATCAAGTGTCGAAATAGCGGAGCTAAAATAACACGTCCGCACACTTTGATTCAGTTGATCAACCAACTTTTCCGCTATTTCTTCTAAAGTCTTCTCTCTTGAATATCTATTTTTACGTCATACAAGCACGGATATTGACGCCACATATCCACAAGTTGATCTTCTAATATAACTTCAGACACGAGCTCGTGATTTTGATCCGCCATGTTGTTTTTAATTCTGCAAGTTGCACGCATGCGCAAATTTTCCTATTCAGGCGCGCTTGTCGTTTGCTCGCCGCACACGAGAATTTTTTTGTCACGAATGACGAAAAATATCAAACATGTTTGGTATTTGGTTTACATGTCACGAATGACGAAAATGCCGTAAATGTTGCCCGCACACGAGGAAATTTTGTTGATCCAACTTGTCACGAATAACAAGTACGCGCGACAAGTGCGCTCGTGTGCGGCGGGCTTTAGACATACTAATAAACAGATAAACAAATTAACAGGCCACAAATTGAAACAAACAACGATAAGACAACGAAATGAGATCCTCATTGAAATTCTGAACTCGTGAATGACGTACTTGAGTAATTTGAAGCTGTTAAGATTGTTTATGTATCGAGCAAGCTATATTAAAATTTAATGACTGCCTTCCCTATCACGCACACCATCGGCAACTGCCAGAATGCTATACTCTGACGTGGAGTTGAACCATAAGATAAATTTTTATTTCAATGTTAGATTACGGTTTCCGCCTACTAAATATAGGTACCTTGTAGGACGATTCAATGTTAGGTTACGGTTTCCGCCTACTAAATAATACAGTTTAACAATCGAAGTAAGACAGGGAGGGGTTTTATGGTTGAGAAGAGTTCTAGGATCCAACTTGGAATAGCGGTCGGCGTAGCTTGAAAACAAGACGTCATAATCTGTGATTTGCCGTTGTAAACAGACTGAGGACGACGTATAAAACTTTCGTACGATTTTAATTATACCCGTCACATACGCTTACGTTCGTTAATATTTGGCTAATATATCTTAATAATAATTTAAACTCCAGTATGCATTTGTCTTCTTCATTTCTTTTGGGGCGGATCATTAGAAAAGTGATTCGGGGGGGGAGAAATAATCGCGCGAAGAGGAAAGCAAAGAAAATTTATAGGAACATTACATTCTACTAAGTGTTAATGTAATCAGGGACGCCGGAAGATCGATAATTGGGGGGGGGCAGATATTCATATATTCGTGTTCACAGACTGTAAAAACAATCGATTTCAAAAGAAATTAATTGGGCAGAACACGAATATATGAATATATGCCCCCCAATTATCGATCTTCCGGCGTCCCTGTTAATGTTTATATTTAGATTTTAGTTTTCGATTTTGCTTAGCAGGTCCACATCAGCTTAATATTAAACCGCCATCTCTATTTATCTGCATAATCAAATAGAAAATATATGTATCCATGTATGTATCAAATAGAAAATGTATGGGGCATGCTCCCCCGAGAAAATTTTAAAAGTTGAACCTCGGAAATGCTATTTCCTGCGTTTTCTGCCATGGATTCGTGCAACAACTTTGTTGTACTAAGCCTAAGGAACACTTACTGTCCTTTATTTTAAACAGGGAAAAATCACAAAATGAGCTTAGATTCAGTATGTAATAAAACAAGATTTCAACATTGCGATTTTTAACTGCCCTCCAAAACAACAATGTTCCACCAAATATAGCTCTGTAGCTTTTCAATCGTTCATACAGATAGCTTGTTGGGGATCGGGTTGCATCCCCTTCAGAAATGTTTTAAAATCTAGACTCTCTAAACTGGCATTTTCGCATTAAAATCATCGTATATACAGTATAGACCCATTGCACATGACGTCACAGCGCCGGCGACGATGCATCTGGAGGACAAATTTGCAATCTATGCATAATATAACTTTTGTAAGCAAAGCAAATTTTGTAAAACTTTATAATAATTTTGTATTAAAATGGTTAGTTTTTGCGCTGTATGTGGTTGTTGTACCCGAACAGATATTGTTAGGGAGCATCTGGAGGACTCTCTAAGGATTTGTGACGTCAGTGCAAAGGGTCTATACGTTCAACTTGCATCCTGTAGATGGGCCTTTGAAGCTTTAATAGTTTGGAGCTACGTTATCAAAAAAACACACACAGACTCAATCATTCAAAAATACTTTTTCTACCATGCATATTAGATATGTATAAATAACTTAAAAACTTGTACATATCTTAAGCCCATGCAGATTTTCTCAGGGGTGGCGGCAACAATTTTGCCAGGGAACGCCACTGGCTATTGTATGTTATTAGGCTCCAAAGGCGGTAGAATCCCTGTGATGTTGTCCACTGTTCACCCCGTGTTCTTTTAAGCAAATGTGCCTGCTCAAAAATGCAAAATCTTGCAAGCCTGTGAGCACAATACTGAAGTGAAGAACGTCAGTAGATTTGCATGTGGGAATTTTTTTTGAGCGCTCTTTTTTGCATGATTTTTTTCTCGATTGTATGCTACATGATTTTTTTTCTTTCTCCTTGGATTGCAGGAATTTTTTTTTCGAAATCTTCTACCCCCCCCCCTCAAAAATCAAATGGTACGCCCCTAACATGAAAGAATTTAACCAATTAATTTAGCTACACTATACAATAATTAATGTCTAACAACTTGCCGAATAACTGATTATACGGAAATATTTATTGTGAACTTTCAATGTAAGGTCGTAAGAGTAGAGGAAGTTATAGCACCCATGGAGCCCAAGTGGTTTTGGGATTATCGTTATGGAAGAGTTGGTTATGAAGAAGGTGAATTATCAATAAAGAAAGATGATGAGTTTGTGAGGGACTTGCTTCAGGTAAGTATTTACAAAGCTAACACAAAAGGAAAATGTTGAATTTTTTCTTGATAGGTTGATTGGTTAATAATTATGTTAGTAATTATGTAATTTATTAAAAGATACGCAGCAAAACAAACAAGGCAGCAAAGTTTATATAAGTGAAATTGACGATTTAAGACTACCGAAGGCGAAGCTAATAAACAAACAATCAAAGAAATATCTGAAACGAAACAAAGAAAGACATCGGGCAGAAAAAGTGGAGTTTGGTTGGTTCTTTCCTGTGCTTTCAGGGTTTTTCTCCTAGTCCTCCGATTTTTCTTCCTCGCCAAAACTATGTACACACCTAACTGAAAATCTCACGACTTGTCAACAAGGTGTGTTTGCAACAGGCTTGCAGCAAACTTGTCAACAAGTGTTACAATAATGCTGTTATTTTATCAAGTTGCTACAAGGTTGTTATGCACTCACAACTTGTTGACAAATTGTTGAATTGCAGGACGATAGCAAGTTGTTGCAACAATTGTAACAAGCCTGTTGAGCTCAGCAACCTTGTAGCAAGTTGTCAACAAGCCGTTGACAACTTGTCAACAGGCAGGGACAAGCAGTGCGAACACCTGTTGACAAGTCGTTGGAACAGCATTGAATTGCAGGACGATAGCAAGTTGTTGCAACAATTGTAACAAGCCTGTTGAGCTCAGCAACCTTGTAGCAAGTTGTCAACAAGCCGTTGACAACTTGTCAACAGGCAGGGACAAGCAGTGCGAACACCTGTTGACAAGTCGTTGGAACAGCATTGCTGCAAGTCTGCAGCTGCAGGTTTGTTACAACTTGTACCCTAGCCTTAGCCCTACAATCCAGGCCAAAACTCATGTGGACTGCACTTAATCAACTTTTGCAAAAATCATAACAAACAGCTAAAACTTGAATTTACAAGCATATCCCCCACTCTCTATTGTTGCATATCTACATTTCTTATTTGATGAAAAATCCCATTCAACATTGGATTGGGGGACCGGGGGGGATTATTTAGAAAAAACGCCATTCGAGGCCAATGTCAATCTCGTGCCCAGAGCCATCGACGATGGCTCTGGGTACGAGATTGGGCCAATATCTGTAAGTCTTAGTTGTCAAGCATGCGTGCGTTCATCCTCGGTCCCAGGGCCTCACGGCTGACACATCGAGGATGGCGTGCGTCATGAGCCCTATAATTCGGGTGAATTTGGCTACCACAACCTGTATAATCGACCTCACAGTCGTGGTAATAAAAGTGTTTTCGAAATATTTTACCGATTCATTTGTTTATATGAACCAATCACCTTTGGTTTTGGTACTATTGACCAATCATAAAGAGGCAGGAAATTAGCAGAAATTATCAAAGCAGGAAATTTCAAATAAGTGGTCATTCGACTCAATTTGTTTGTGTGAGCAAATGAATTGCTAGAATATTTTAGGGATACCTCCATTGGCACTACTGTAAATAATCAATGATTATCGTTATCAATCTTTTTTCTTTTTGTGCATTTGATGACTACAGACGTACGCCTTCAAGTCACTCTTTTTCTACACAAAGCTATTCTCAACCAACAAAGAAATGTGGGACGCAGGTAACCTGTCAGGAACTCTAATGGAATGTCTAGAGGTTCTCTTTAATCTCTACAGTATACCAAATGCAACTGTACCAAATTTCTTTTTCGATGGATACACCGGCCAAAACCCAGAAGAAGATAAACGAAAGAAGATTTTGATGGGATTGCTAAAGATTGTCACTTATCTTGAAAGTGCTATAAATTTAAACTCATAGATCAATAGATCGATATAGATACGTAAACAGGGCCTTATCCTAAAACCGGTTTTCCACTAGGCGGAATTTTGCGCGCGGAGCGGAATTTTTCTTCGTCTTTTCTAATTTGTTCCACCCGCGAAATCACAAGACAAAGAAAAATTCCGCTCCGCGGGCGCAAAATTCCGCCTAAACTGCTGGCTTAAAAGCCCAAAAAGTTTTTTAGACCTCTAACCTTTGTTAACTTTACAGAAGATTAATTAACAATTATTCGCCGAAGGCGAGGTGATTATCGGGGAATATTCGCCGAGACGACGTCGAGGTGAATATTCCCCGATAATCACCGAGCCTGAGGCGAATAATTGGTTTAGTATTTTTGGCAATTTTTTGTGTTTTTCTGGTCTGAATCACTCTGAATTCATTTTAATTTCGCTTATTTCTTTATCACTAACATCAAACAAAACGGCTATCCGCCATTTTGAAAATTTCGATTTTGTTATATTCACCTGTAGGTGAATATAACAGATTAATACGTCAAATTTGACCAATCACCTTGTAGGATTTGTTATGTTCACTTGTGCAAAAATACTAATGCTCTTTATATGTTATATCTTGTAAGAGGGCGATAAATAGAAAAATATCTTCTGTATATAACAGTGTAACGGAAGAACTTTAACAATATTTTTACGCCATAACTTTCAAGTACCGTATTTACTCGTTTGAGCGCCGCCCCGTATTGAGCGCCGCCCTCGAATGAGCGCCGCATTTGAGATCAATTTTTTTTTAAAGAGCGCCGCCCCCGAATGAGCGCCGCACTAAGGGAAAGTACATTTATTACACCGAGGGAGGGGGATGAAGATGTCTTGAAAAAAGCTCATATTTTTACAGGGCCCCTGTTGAGGTTATTGGTATATTTCGATGCCCCCCCCTCCAAGTTTTTAAAATTTTCAATGCCCCCCTCTAGAATTCGGAATCAAAGGAGTACAATCCGGAATTCTCTCTTATCATAGACACAATTTGCAGTTCCTCAAGATGTCTGATATACTCAAGCATGTGCTTCTCGTCAACAAAACTACCGATCTGCTGCTTCTTTCACCTCACTAGCACCAGATGAACTGGCACCGTCTTTAAAAAAAAAATTTAATTGGCTCAGTCTAGGGGCGAAATTATCAACAGGTTGTTGTTATCCATCATTCAGCGTAGTCGGAGTCTTGAACACAGAGTCGGAGTCTTGTCGGAGTCTTGATTTCCTGGATCAGGGTAATGTGCTGGAACCTTACAGAATGTCGCACCCACCCAACGTATCTCCCGTATCTCTTTGCATGCCTGTCAAAAATGCATGCAAAAGTGCCAGTATGCTCCAATTTCTTTAATTTTCATCCCGTTTGTACTAAATATCCCATAAACATAGAAATTAAAAATAAGCTATAGGTGATTTCATGTATCCATTTAGAAGAGCAGACTAAGGATATCGTAAAACTGAAATCTGTTTCGAATACAACCATCAGGGATGTAGCAAAGCATCTCATACTAAGTTTTGGGAGAAAAGGGGGTTCTGAGGACCCCCAGACAATTTTTACATTTTTGAAGCTCTAAGACTGAATTTTTGGCGTTTTCTAAAGGCCTTTCAAATTTCGCAAAAATATTGCATGTAAATTGATTGTATTTTACAAAAATGGTTATCAATTCACAAAAATAATTACCTTATAACGCAAATTTTACTTGAAAATGTCAAAATTTTAACTTGAATTTGCTCGGGTGAAAACTTTGAAAAGTTTAGAGCCCCCCCTTCAGTATATCAAGAACTTTCAGAGCCCCCCCCTTTAATGCCAGAAAATATTTCGGTTTAAAAACCATCATTCAAAAGGCTGAACTGTGCCTGTAATATCAAAACTACAGCCCACGACATCTCGGTAACATTTTGTAAAACCACACAGTATATGTGTACAGGTATTAAAAGGAGATTTAATTAGAAAAGGGCCAAGACTATAAATCTACCCAATAAATAAATAAATAAATGATAACTATTATTTTTATCCCCCCCTTGCTAAAATATCCCATCCGTTGGGAGGGGGGTTGAACCCCCTTAATATTTTTATTAAGGCAGAAACAACAAGCTTTTACCATTATCGATATGGCAGAATTAAAATACTGGAGGGTGGTTTGTATAGTTATTCCAATTTATTTCTATTCAAGTTTTTAAAGATCGGACCAGTAATGGTAATTTTCCTCATATTAGCCTTTATTATAGGATTCCATTCTGACTAATGAGCCATATGATAAAAAAATGCATGCATTTTAAATAGCATCATTCAAAAATGCAGAAACTCGTGTTTCATAGACCCATATGCGCAAGAATGAAAACAAATTCAGGCAGTTCAATTGAAAGCCTCTCTTGAAGAGCCCCGTATGAAATACGCCACGGCGTAAAAACCCCTAGCCTGCTCGCATCCCGATTTAGGGATTTAATTTCGGGCTGCGAGTAGGCTAAAAAACCCCAGAATTTCGAGCGCAGAAAGGCATGTTGTGAACTTTAAATGATGTATCTCTCTGTCTCGTACATGTAAAAGTCACATAATGGACATGGGTAAAAGCCATAAAATGCTGCATTAATTAAACGTTATTATACATGTAAATGTATATATGTAAATATTTAACATAAACATGAAAACAGCCAAATCATATTTTTAAAAACATATCATGTTTATTTCTTTCTTTGTATATCAGTTATCACTGAAACTGTGCCCGCCCCACGGTGCCGTCGTTTTCAGTTGAAAAATATACCACTGGAACGAGTTATAACATAGTCATAGAAAAACGTGATTTCTATTGCATATATGTAATATATTCCAGCAGGTGGCATATCACTTGTAATTAAACTTTAAAATGTGGGATTTTTCGGATCGTTTTTAGTTGTGAGCTGCGTGTGGAGGAGTTACAAAACATATGGGCTGTAATACAGGTAAAAGTATATTGTGAAAGATCAATCATATAGCTGGAGATATAGGCTGTTCTACACCATTTCCTTGGAAACCGACACAAGAGACTGGTTGACGCATCATCATTTTCCAAGCCATTTACTTTCCAAGATTCATTTTATACTTGTATTATCTTATTAAGGGCAATATTACAAAACGTTTGGCTTTTTGTTTGTCGTCTATGATACAACATTCTTTGATCTATAACAAGGCTCATGTATTACATAACTTTATATATTGAATATAGGTTTGGCTTGGAACAAAAAGATAAAGCAGATTACATCTATATCTAGAATATCATAAGCCCACAAGGTCAAGGTCGAATTTGTGGGTATAAAATTATAATAATAAAAAAATTTAAAACCCAGAAACACGAACAAGTGATGATAATCATTTTCTCCACACTACTCGTACGTAGATACAATCGGTTTGCATAAAGACTTTTTAACATGGAGCTTTAAAGGTATTAGGAACAATACAAGCCCTTGTGTACTTGAGTTGTCTCCGCCGGATTACCTCTTAACATTCTCTCTAGTGTTAATGTATACATTTTGCATAATATGTATTAATTATTCATTTAATGTTTATATTGCATACACGCCACCTGTATTTTGGTTTAAGCTTGCAGAGTTGCATTCAATACTCATCATTGGTTATCGAGGCAGACCAAAGATTTGCGGTCAGTGTATTATATACTATTTGCCTTTAATTTTTAATGCATTTCAAACAATTTCAAAACCGGTTGGACTGTGAAGAAGCGTGCTCGAATTCCCATGCCAAAGCTTGATTCAACAAACAAGAATTAGCGGAGCCATGTCTTCCTTTTCACCTGAAGCAAGTCAGCTTGAGAACAACAAAGATAAGCCAGCAGCAGTGAATTCCGATTATGATAATAAGAAGAGTACAGCTGAGCCGACAAGACGGAAACCTTCTGCAATGACTAGGCGATTGAGCTTCTCTATGACTCGACCATGGTCGTCATATGCTGAGAATTACTCTTCATGTTTATCTGGTCTGAGAAGAAACTCCAGCGAACAGTTAATCAAAAGACAAGGCAGTCTTCAGTCATCTCCAACGTCGAGTTCCAGTGATCTATCCAAGTCTTTGGATAGTGGACAACTAAGAAACCTAAAGGCAACAACTCCTGATTCGGAAGTAAAGCCAAGAACCAGCAAAATTTCTGCATTGCATGCAAGACCGTTTCATCAGCGAAGATGGTCAAGTCCAGTAGTTTTCTCAGTAGCCAAGCTAGCTGCTTCTTCTCACAAAGTGTCAAAACAATTTAAAGAAGAGAATGGATCAGGGGAGACTTTACAAGATTGTAAAAAGGATAAGGATAATGATAAGATATGTGAAACCGATGAAATGACACTGTCTCAAGAGCAAGCCAAAACATGTGCACCTGTTTCCATAGCGCAAGTTTGTGTCGAAAACCAAGCGCCGAAAAGTAAAGTAACGGAGGAAGTATCGAATGATAGCCCCGACTTCACTTCTGGTCAAACAACGTATTTGAGTCCACACGTGGCGGAAAACTTCGACAATAAGGAGGAAAAAGACGTTGGAAAACCCGAGCCGGCCAAAATGAATAACCGAAATCAGCCGAGATCAGGCACGAACGATAAAACCAACTCTGATGCGTTGCCTGAATCATCCGAAGTTAAGAAAGAAGATCCCACTCAGAATCGAAATATATATACGGAGATTAAAAAGAATACAAGATGGTCTAAGAGCAAGCGTTTTAGAAGAAGGCATCATACAATCCACGCAGATTCCCACAGGTTTATAAATCCAAAGTTATTCACAATTGCTGAACAATCTAGTGGATCATTTGGTAGCGTTGCCGGAGCAAATGAAAGATATGATCGGGTTATGAATGGGAAATTAATAAGTAGAAGAAGCAAGAGTTTGGGAGATTTAAACACGTTGCCAGATGATATGAAAACTAATGGTGTGAGTGTTCAACAACTTTGTGCCAAGCCAATTTGTGTTTCTGTGGCTATCAATAAAAACAAGAATGAAGGAACAGCGTCGACAAGAGACACTACAGTAACATATAAAGGAGAAGAAAAGTCTGAAAGCGCTTCCAAGAGGCAGATATCGTGTCCAGTTCAAGTGAATATTCAGACATTTAACCAAATACAAATAACACCTGGTGTAGAAGAACAACGAAAGCCGCAAGCCAGTAAAACCCAGCCATATTACTCCACACAACAACATGTAGTTTTTACACAGCCCAAAGCTAAATGGACCAGTATTACAATATCTCAAGTCTAAGAAAATAACTTGGTTATAAAAATTTATTAAACATTAAGTTGCACTACATTCAATTTTAAATTTTGTAGGTTTTTCTAATAATTTATTCGGCAAACCTGATATCTTCTTGCAAACACTTTGTTGCCATGGAAACGTTTTTAACAATGGACCAAAGATAAGTCCTTAAAATTTAACACTTAGCTAAAACTGAGTTATGGCGTCGTTTGACATTAAACGATATTAGAAAGAACATGTTATTATAAGAATATTACTGTATTATAATGCATAGCTGAAGAGCTTATAATACTCAGAGACAATTTAAAGAATCTGCAATGCACATGTATATATACACTTACGGTCACGTACAACATCGTTTCTTACTAGAATAAAAATTAACAGCAGTAAAGCAAAATGTTTGTTCAATACTTCAATAAACGTTTTATTTGTTTCATTATTGATATTCACTACTGGGGGTGGGGTGGGGGCGTAACAGTTTATGATCCTGGTAAGGCGGGATGAATGGCGAGATCCTATATACCCTGGTTCCAGAGGCTCTTTGCGAGGCAAAGAAACGAGAGCTTTCTTCGCCTCCTGTTACGACCTTCTGAGCTATTTGGTGACTTCACTTTTGTCATAGGTCGAACGACTCAAGTTCTTGCTCCACAGCTCCAGGTATACATGGAACTCACTGTTAAGGCTAGTTTCCACTCAGGAAAATTATCCGTGGATTGGAACGGACAAGAAAATTTTTCTTTGTGTTAAAGTCATTAGTTCCATCCCAGAGCTCACAAGACAAAGAAAAATTTTCTTGTCCGTTCCAATCCACGGATAATTTTCCTGAGTGGAAACTAGCCTTTATGCCGCCGCTCGAAACGCCGAAATGCTTGTAAAACCTTTTCAGGTAACTCAGTCTTCAGATCCAAAACCATCACAGTCGCAGCTTTTTGTAGAATACCGTATATACAAGTGTAAAACGAATGACTCCTCACGTTGAACCGTGTCTAATTCTAAACTCGGTTTTTCACTAGCGAATTATTTCGCGCAAAGCGACTATTAATTGCTTTTATCCTAATTGAGCTTTCGACTGGAACCATTTGGAACTAATTAGTTTTAGACAAAAGAATAAAGTCGATTCGCGCGAACAAAATCGCTAGTTAGCGGAAAACCGGCTTAATGGCCAAGATATGCCGGATTCGACAACGCGATTATTCAGTTTTTGAAATTAATCAAATAGCCAATGAAAGGAAATTGTAAAAGATATGTAGACCAAATAACTCAAAATGTATTGTTATAGCGTTTCTAAATATTAGGAAAACTTAAACAAGATCAAAGTTATCGGTCAGTGAAAATGGAAAAATTGCGCCACGTTGTCCGGCATGTCTCGGGTCTTTAAAGGCGGTTTTCCAAAGAGAAATTTCGTTTCGGTCGAAATATTCCGCCTCGTGGAATAAGGCCTGATTCCACGAGGCGGAATTTTTCGACCGAAACGAAATTTCTCTTTGTCTTTTTACAATTAGTTCTGCTTGAGAGCTCATGAAACAAAGAGAAATTTCGATTCGGTCGAAAAATTTCGCCTAGTGGAAAACCGCCTTTAAGGCCTAGTTTAAGGCTATTTTCCACTAGGCGGAATTTTCCGCGCGGAGCGGAATTTCTCTTTGTCTTTTCTAATTAGTTCCACCCGAGAAATCACAAGACAAAGAAACATTCCGCTCCGCGCGGAAAATTCCTCCTAGTGGAAAACGGCCTTTATACGTCGAATTTCAGTCGAATTTAATTTGTCGAATTTAAGGAGGCTCCCTACAGTTATTGGCAGAATTTGAAGTTGATTTAGTCAGACGTCATTTTCGCGTCGTGCGCGTGGAAAATTCGTGGTGTTTTTTACACAAGCGGACAAACCGGCGAAACAAATCCTTAAAATTAGCAGAGAAAGGCGTCAGAATCAATTGTAAATTTTGCACTTAGTAATTAATAATTTAATAGAAAAAGGAAGATTCTTCGGCTGTGCTTGGCACTGCTTTCCAATTTGTATGAGGCGTAAATACCCCGAATTCGTTCATGTCGTCGGCTTGAAAGATCAGTACAGTGGAGTTATTAGTTGGAGTTGGACTATCTCTGGTCAAACTACTGTATTCTGAAAAGCGTTTTAAACAATATTTTTCGCGTGTCACGACAAATCTTCACAACCATTCTTCACAAGATTGGAGACCAGTTAGAGAAAAAAATTAAAACAGAGCTGCCAGTTTCTTTTTTTATTTCATTTTTTGCCAGTTTTTTTTTCTGTCGGTTTTTTTCTCCTTGGCCAGTACCTACTATTCATAATATTGTCATTAAGGTTTGTGAAGTAATGGTTACACAATTATGGCAGGATTATGTGTCTAGTTATTTTCCATTGACGGAAGAACATACAGTATGAAAGAGAAAATCATTGATATGGAATATATTTCCGGGCAGTAATTGTTGCAGTAAGCAACGCTTACATTTGGAATCCATCCCTCAATTTCTTCATCTGTTACAGCCATAGAACATGATGTACGATTGAAAACGTACGTTTTACATGTAACACGACGATATTTAGCAATTAGAACATGGATGTTGTTTGTCCTCCATGTTGAAAATCACACTTCGTGGAGTCCACGAAGTGTGATGATATTGATTTTAGGGTACAGTTGTGGATAACAATCTAATTTAAATAATTTATTCATTTTATTCGATGCGACGGAAATTCGACGTATAAATCAGTGTCGCGTTTCGGTCGCATTACACGACTGATCATGTCGCAAATTCGACAGCGTCGCATTTAATGGGCTATTAGTAAAACACGGAGCACGGAGCACACGGAGCACGGAGCACGGAGTACGGAGCACACGGAGCACGGAGCACACGGAGCACGGAGCACACGGAGCGCGGAGCACACGGAGCACGGAGCACACGGAGCACGGAGCACACGGAGCACGGAGCACACGAACTACGGAGCAGTAGAAAAACGAAAATCCTTTATAATAAAATACACTGTTTACTACAAATTTTTATTACAAATTTTTGTTCTTATTAATAAAGTTTTTCGCGTTTTACACGTTGAGGAAGTAGAAAAATGGGGCTTTTACTGCACATATGATGCAAAACTGCCAAAAGCCATAGTATTTAAAATAGGATTGTGCCTGTGAAACTCGTCACATATCTATCAAGCTTATGAGTTATGTAGTTATATTATATTCCGATGGCCAACGCATTAAGAAACACTTAGAGAACAGCCGATATATTTCGTTACCCCTGCCAAAAAATAGCCAAGTACTCATCTTTCAATGTAGCGGATCGACTGAACATTATAAAAGCTTGTCATGGAGAGAAGTGAATTTTCGGTTTATCCTTCGTCCCAGTGACCAGTGAGCAGTGTGCTGTACGGCCTACGCCGGTTTAAACCGTTATACATAATTACTGCTTTCATTCTTTCAATCCGTTTTGAATATTCGGAATCATTCACTATTATATTATAAAACTGTATAAGATAGCTGTAGAACTATAAATGCTGTAGAATAAAATAAATAAAGAAAACTACGTTTTATCGCGGTATTTGCCGATAAATCGGTAACCGCTACAGAAAAACAGAACAAATTACAGTAAATCACAACAAACCGCGGAAGTGGGACAATTTTTGTATTTTTACTGTAAGACATGCAGAACATGTACGAAATCCATACAGAAGTGTGTGTGTATTCTATACTTTTGAAACAACTAAATCAGACTTCGGAAAATTTGACAGTATTAAAGCTACTTTTGAGAATTTAGATTTTAGGTCTTTGTTTTACATGTACCCAGTAAATATTTTTGAGTTTTGAACTTTGATTCTCACAAGCTTACAATTTGTTTACAATTTACTCTGCCTCTGGCTCTGCCGTACTGCACGGCAGAGTTGATCGGAATTGTAACAAATACGCGTACACTTAAATGGCTTCCTGAATTTAGTCAATCAGATGTGTAAAAATTACTCGTTTCAATTTTATGTTTATTCTCGAAACTGCTCATGTTTACAATAGCAATTCTAACAATCTTGCCCTCCTTTTCGCCTTTGAGGCGTTGGTGTTGATTTATACACAAAATTCAAAACTCAAAAATATTTACTGGTCTGGGTACATGTAAAAACGAAGACCTAAAATCTAAATTCCCAAAAGCAGCTTTAATACGGTCAAATTTTCCGAAGTCTGATTTAGTTGTTTCAAAAGTATAGAATACACACACACTTCTGTATGGATTTCGTACATGTTCTACATGTCTTACAGTAAAAATACAAAAATTGTCCCACTTCCGCGGTTTGTTGTGATTTTATATACTGTAATTTGTTCTGTTTTTCTGTAGCGATTACCGATTTATCGGCAAATACCGCGATTTGAAAACTTACTTTTCTTTATTTATTTCATTCTACAGCATTTATAGTTCTACAGCTATCTTATACAGTTCTATAATATTGTGAATGATTCCGAATATTCAAAACGAATTGAAAGAATGAAAGCAGTAATGATGTACTGTATAACGGTTTAAACTTAGCCGGCCGTACAGCTCACTGCCACCGGTCACTGAGCCGAAGGATAAACCGAAAATTCACTTTTCTCATCACAAGATTTAATGTTCAGTCGATCCGCTACATTGAAAGATGAGTATACTTGGCTATTTTTTGGCAGGGGTAACGAAATATATCGGCTGTTCTCTACAGTAAGTGTTTCTTTATGTGTTGCCCATCGGAATATAATATAACTACATAAGCTTGATAGATGTAAGATAACGAGTTTCACAATCCCATTTTAAATACTATGGCTTTTGGCAGCCTGGTTTTGCATCATATGTGTTTTTCAGTAAAAGCCCCATTTTCCTACTTCCCCAACGTGTAATACGCGAAAAAACTTTGTTAATAATAACAAAAAATTGTAATAATAAACAGTGTATTTTATTATAAAGGATTTTCGTTTTTCTACTGCTCCGTACTTCGTGTGCTCCGTGCTCCGTGCTCCGTGCTCCGTGTGCTCCGTACTCCGTGTGCTCCGTGCTCCGTGTGCTCCGTGCTCCGTGTGTTCCGTGCTCCGTGCTCCGTGTTTTACTAATAGCCCATTTTATGCATCCCGTCCACTGAGATCCCGTCGGATTTAGTCAATTTATACGTCGAACTTTCGTCGGATATAATGACTTGACTGAAATTCGACTCATTAAATTCGACTGAAATTCGACGTATAAACTAGGCCTAAGATTAAGCAAGGCTTTCATTTTCAAAATTTCACAATTTGTTCAATACGTGTAAATTGTATCACAGGTATAATTTTGGCAATACAAAGTGGAATTAGAGCAATACAAAGTGGAATCGGAGATTAATAAAATTAATAAAAAGTTTGTAAATTAAAATTGCGTTTAAAACCTATTCTGTTTCTACTGGTACCTGAAACAAGCAAACAATGAAACTATAACTGTACACGTATTTTAATGAACTGGAGTGATTTTAAAAGCGAATTTATTCGTTTGAAAATGGGATATTTTATAAAATATGTTCTTTCTTTACTCATGATCCAAATGATTGTTTATCCAGCATGTATTAGTTCGTCAGTTGAAAGCCACAACATAACTGAATTACACTTTATAGAACATGATCTTATGGAGGGACTTTCAAATTATATCAATATTATGAAAGAAAATCTTATAGAGTACGAGGATATTGTTTCTCAAGCCAAACAAGACATTTTAAATCAGGTGGAGTATGGAAGAAATGACTATCTGGGAAATCCAATTACAGTTTTTTGCTTGGTAAAACGATTTTCTGAAGGATGGGGAAAGTTAGCGAAATTTATTCGAGAGGATGATCCGACAACTGGTATAAGTTACATTTGTTATACACGTCTGGAGCCACTTGTAGGAAATCCTTAGCTACGTTTTAACCACACAAATTTTAATTGGTTAAGCTTCGCACAAACTATAGGGAGTATAGAGCAGCAATGAAAGTGAACTTAACTATTGTTTACACCTCCTGTTCTGTAAGAAATGATAATATATTGAACAGTTTTCATAGACTTAGAGTACTTAGCACACAAATTTCTTCCGTCAATTTGTTTCTTCTAATTAAACAATTATAAGAAACTTTTGTTCGAAGAATTGTTCATGCAACGTACACTGACAATACCAAAAGGCAATGAAAATGCATGTCAGTTTTTCTGTGTACTGTAGATAACTATACCTCTGTAGACTATGCCATAGATATGCACTATATATACAGGACGTCAATGCATTATTCGTGCAATTATTAGTGCTTATTTTTCACCCTGCTCGGTTTCCTTTGTTCTTGTCAATAATCCCTCTAATATTCACCTGCAATGTCTTTGCAGCACAAAAAATGAGAAAAAAACAACATCACGAAGGCAATATGGCATTAAGAATTATTTCTATTCTGACTCATTAACCGACCTCGCAATGTGAAAAATAAGTATAGGTTATTTCGAGGCAATGAGGGGATATGTGTTTATTCACCTCGGCGCTGCGCGCCTCGGTGGGTAAATCACATATCCCCTCGTTGTCTCGAAATAACCTATACATTGTTTGACATTTAATTAGGGACTTTTCATGTAAATCTGACTGGCTCGCTTGGCTGGGCGAGTTTGTCATTTGCTTCTCTCTCCTCCGGGCCATGCCAGCTCATATGAACAGTGCCGCGTAGACGTAGTTAACTTCCAGTGTCCCAGATAGATAAGACGGGGATTTCCATTGTCTGTGGTCATTGCCATTGGTGTGTAAAATGCTTCGTCTGTCGGAAAAGAATACAATAGATCGCCGATTCTTACGACCAGTGTGAACCTGGCATATCGTATCGTACCGAAGCGTTTTTCTGAGCACTAGCTATATAGACTGGAACGAATGACTTCGACACCAAAAAAATGCTACGGTACGTTACGATTGAAGTGGAGAACGGCCTTTATAAGTGGCATTATAGAAACTGGAATCAAACCTAATTTTAATACGCGATCTAACTGCAAGGTTTTATATTTTTCCGTCTAGAGCTTTTGGCAATAATTAAGAAACGTTCATCGTCATATCCAACTGGAGAAGATCTTCACTCTTTTTCAATGTCAGTCAAGAAAACTACTTCCTGACAGGGGGCACGAAATATCTGGAAAAACACAGCTGATTAATCTGCTTGCTCATACTATGGTTTTAATTGCGGCAAAAACTAAAGCCATAGGCAATGGACATAAGAAAAAAATGGGAGAAAAAGTCAGACCTTTTCAAAATTATTTCAATTATATATTATATCACAAATTATATAATTTAATTTTTGAAAACATTTATTGCTACATATTACTACACATTTATGTACAAAATAGAACTATATGCATACTTATAATAAGTCATATATATATTTAGTAACACAATGAACACAACGTCAACAAAGAACAAGAACGACAATGTCAATGAAAAGAACCTTCCCACTTAAAATTATAACGAAACATAAATCATTGCTTTAAAAACATTTAATTTTTGAAAATGAGAGAAACCACTTGGCTTTGAAATAGAGATTCACACGATTGTGCAACTTCGTACGGGACTTAGATGCACTTTTGCGCCCTTCGTCTCAAATTTAAACTACTTTTCGAAGCTGTACTCGAGTGAATTTTGACACGAGGAAGGTTACAATTCATTTGTCGAACGTATACATACCACGGAGACACAATATAAACAGTCTTTAATCTTTACATCAAATATTTGAGTGCAATTATAATTTTGTCAAATATAAACGCAAATGTACATTCTATATGTTGGGTTATATTGTAACTTTATAATTATTACTGAATCTACAATTACTATATACTGAAACTTAGTGTTATGTCTGCTAGAAGCTGAATACCCCCACTCATTGTTTTCGATGATCAAAGTGGTTATTCTCTTAACAATACTTGTACAAATTTAAGTAGTACAAATTTAAGGACGAAAAAGAGTCGCTTATAATCGCACTGGTTAATTGTTAAACTATAGTTCAGTATTTCGTTTAAATACAATATATATTCCAAGTTCAAACATTTACACATCCTTTGGTTTTGGGAGGTATTACAACGTCCAGCACAACCCAATTATGTACAATATTTACACGTTAGTTTCATAACGTAAATTAATCTTTTATGCAACCATGGAGGTTGCCATTAGATACAAAACTTCGTCAAACTCAGGGGTTTAAAGCACAAGCGATATCGTAGAACCGATCACAATGTCAATGCACTATGAACCATTTTCGGATATACGACCTACTAGTACGAAGTACATTTTAACCCCTGAAAGTCAAAATTACACCATCAGCATTCTGTGGTCCAAGAGTACCCCCTGCCAACAGAGCCTGTTTTCCCCCGTCCCCGAGAAAGGAAATCAGGCTCTGCCTGCTCGCGTGGTAATTCAAGAATAACCCCATTTGGACATTTTCTTTCTTGGGTGTACCAATAATCTGCATAATCTCGTTCCCCGAGCCTGCAATCCTTGGGAAGGAACGCGAGGCTCTGGGATAATCCGTTGCCGGAAGCCAGGAATCCTGGCTAAGACCGAACTACGCATTCCATATCAACGGCCAATCGGATTCCTCCCTGAAATGGATTATCCCAGAGCCTCGCGTTCCTTCCCGAGGACACAGGCTCGGGGAACGAGATTAATCTGCATGTAAAGCTTAGTTAACATTACAATTAAAATAAATAAGTATAAACTTATACCTTAATTTACTTATAATTAAACTAAATTTTTATATTATCTTTTTTATTTCTTTAGGCTGACTTACACCACACGAGTTTTGCCTCAAATTGTCACATACAACCCTACTTACAAACCTGAGTTGTACTGTGTAAACCAAGCACACAACCCAGTCTCCTACGGCAACGTAGGCGAGTTGTGGTCGGTTTGATCTACACAATACAAGCATAGATATCTTATATACACTAGATAGTGCATCTAATTATTCTGCAATTCAAAAATTGAAGCCGTGATTGCAGACTCAGGTCGTTCCCATGAAATGAGAAGATTCGTATATTTTCTATTTCTTAAACACGGAACTTAAACATGAAGTTAACCCTATTCCAAATACGTTTTTAAACTATTCAAATGATGAAAATTATTGTTGTTTTTAAGCGTTTATTAGGAAGTGGGAACGACCAACATGGCCGCCATCTATTCAAATGGGGGTAACCGCTGGAATATTCTTGGCTTCAATTTTACTAAAATAGATGGGCTATCTAGTGTATATAAGATATCTATGAATACAACCCAAGTTGTAAGCAGGTTGCATGCGACAATTTGAGGCAAAAGTTGTGTAGTGTAAATTGGCCTTTTGATATTCTTCAGAAAATAGTATTTTTAAATATACTATATATATACATACTTTATGAAATAATTACTATTTAGAAATATAGCGTTTTCACTTAGTACGATTTGTTTAAATTAGTGTTTTCCTTGTTTTTATTTTAAAGAAGTAATTCAAGAGAGTAAATAAATGAGCAGTGACAAAAAAATAGAGAAAAAATAACAAAAAAGCAGCACAGACCAAGTGAAAACGCGTTCCAATATCACAAATAATCTCTAGGAAACTCACACTTTTTCACACATTCATGATGAACGCGCATTGCAAACATACTGGGATGTACGTATCCCAAAATAACATGGCATATTTTTCAGTATAAAAAAATTTCATCCATTTGGTCGCAAATGTCATGAAAAGTCATGTCTGCCTCTTCCTCTTGTTTTAGAAGGCCGTATATCTGCAATCTAAATTCACCTTAATTAGTACGCGACCGTTCCAAACGTCACGTGCCATGACGTTTCCGGAAAATATGCACAGAAATGCGCAATAATATTCATTGAATGAGCCAGTCATAACAAGCATATAGAATTTCATATAGCACATGCAGCGACACTGTACGCTTAGAGATCAAGCAATTCTGAACTTTATCACACCAAATCATTAATTAAGCCTTGTTCATCTTCTTGTCGACTAAAAGTTTTAAGTACCGGTTGCTTCTCTCCGATGTTATCCACATCCTCGTCGTCTTCTTCGTCAATATCAAATTCTTTAAAGTTTTTATTTGGAAACTTGAAATACGCATCTCTATCCACATCTTTCTTGCTCTGAGTTGGGTTTCTACCATCTGCTGAGAGGATTTTAACCTTTCCAACTTCTGAATTGTAATGTATTCTGGAATGTACAAAATGGGAATTAGCCGTTTGAATAACTCCATGGTGCTATACTACTTGTATGAATAGAAAAACTATTCTGCATGCAAATGACAATCAATGCTGTATATAAGAAAGGGAGTGGGGTGTTAAGTTTGAGTGAGCAGCCGTTAGTGCAGGGAATCCAATCTCGCAAGCCAGGCTTTTCACCTCCGCCGTTCCCGGCTTGCGAGTAGTCCTATAAACCTAACGACAAGTGCGCAGATGCTTATGCTTCTACATCAATCCAGTTGACTATTTGCAACATTATTTTGGTTCGTTTTAGAATACATGCTTATTTCATGATTGACTCAGTCGGTTTTCTTTGATGTACCGCGGGCTTTATCTACCATAAAGCCCTTGAATACCATAAAGCCCTAATTAGTCAAGAAATAAGGGAGAAAACTAGAAAAATACTTGTCGAAATCGAAAAAAAAGAATAATACTTTGTTAGAAAACCTCTTCAATCATGAAATAAGTCAGTTAAATACCTCGAATGTCGGGCTTTATGCTATATAAAGCCCTCGAACGCTACGCTTCGCGTTCTCGGGGCTGTATATAGCATAAAGCCCTCCTTCTCGGTATTTAACTCTTACATACAATACTTACTCCATTTTGCTTGCGTTGTTTCTTCTGCGATACCATACGATCACAATAATCAGTATCAATAAAATAAAGACGACACCAGCAATAATACCGCCAAGAACTGGGTGACTCATACCGGATCTTTCGGATTTTGAAGGAGCTACAACGCCAGGACTTGCTATAATTGAGAAAGGGAGAAAAAATTTCATTGAATTGCAATCGCACGCAATAAATTTGTTATGGGTAAATATTTTTGTTGGCATCTCACTCGATTGAATAATAGTTGAAAGGTCTTGTAGATGGAAATTATCGAGTGGAAATTTATATACATTTCATTAGACCTGACCAGGAACAGCTGCGAAAAATGCAACTTTACTTCTACTTTACCAAAAGAAACCGTCATTTCAACAACTCGGTCAAGTAAGTTTTTGTTTTGTTGCATGATATAATATACGAATACATTTACTGCATCACATTTCAAACACTCTAACAAATTAGCCTCTGTAGCTCAGTTGGTTAGAGCGCTGCACCGGAATCACATGGCCGCGCAGGTTCGATTCCTGCCAGGAACCTCATTTAAACTTGTTGTACAGGTAGCATGGATAATAAAATGGATAGGACTCTCGCTGACGTAAGCAAAAACAACCTAGTTGCAATCTGTGACGTCACGCGTATTGCAAAGTTCTCTGCATTTTTGTTGTTTCGCTATATTTTCCGCCTTAAAAGAGCAATATTGAAGCATAAACCGGTCTAATTGTCAGTTTTAAAAACATGCCTAAGCCACGACAAAGTATTCAAGGTTAATGTTTTTTGTCTTTGTTTTGTATTTTTTTTACATTTGTAGCTACGAAATTGGCGTCTCCAATTTTAACGAAATTTGGGATGCCTTTTTCACTGTTTAGTGCTTGAAATATTTGCTAAAATTGACTGGGAATACTTAGAGATTTCATCGTAGAATGACGTAGTTATATTCATTTGCTCTTTGACTAAAACGTTTAGCTGTATTATTGCTAAACATGCCGTTTTTGAGAATTTGGTTTGCAACTAGGTTTCAACATCCAATCACGCCATCAGCCCATTGAAAACATTAGGTTACGTCAGCTAGTTTCCTATCCATTTATTTTATTATCCATGCCGGTAGTATGCTGCATGTATATACCAACCTAAGATAAGAAACCAAAATACTTTGCAGCAACAATAATGAACGTTTACAACTTACACACGAACAACATTTATATATTTAATATACTTGAAAATACAAGTTTGTTTCGGTTTTTCAAGATCATGTTGAGTATACTATTTTCTGGAAAACCTCACTTACTTTGTTGTGTTTTTGGAATTGTACTAGTCTTTGTACCAGTGGTAGTTGACGGCGTTGTAGACTTAGCATCTTGGGACATGGGAGTTGTCGTAGATTTCGCTGCTGTAATATAAAAATATACATACATAAATTAACCTTCACAAAAAATATCAAAATTTAAAACCAATGAAAAAGTAGGCCCTACTAGTCAAAATAAGTATTTCAATCTATAACAATCTAAGTTTAGCTTAACATTAAAAGATACATACGCATTTTGCAGTTCTTTTGATCAGGCAGTAAGTCACCAGTTTCAGGACAAGCACATTGAAAGCCATTTGGTATAAGGAGACATAAATGACTACAACCACCATTGTTCGTACATGGGTTGTCACCTGAAGAAAGCGCAAAAAAAACTTGGAGTTATATTAGACATAGCTAAATTGGGACACATATAGTGTTTGTTAGAAATATCTCAAAGCGCCTGAAGTATTATTCCTGTATGCTTAGTTTCCTCCATGAATGGTACTTGTCCTATGGTATGCTTTAAGTGTTGAAAAATTAGTCAAAACCATTCGAATGATTTCGAGCAAAACGTTCAATCAGCCTCGTACCCAGGATCTTTCTTTGGGAAAGACCCTGGCAGCGGTTGGTCACGTGGCTCCCACATTTTGATGCTAAATTAAAGTTATACTATGGGTAGGGTGGGAGAGGAGCGCGTTTGTCGCGTAGTAAAAATTGCAACTTTGGGTGATGAAATTTAAATTTGCAATAAGAAATCGTGAAGAGAACTCTTAAATTAATATTTATATCGTGTTTGACTTTCTACTCTATAATCTAGTGTCAAGTTACAATTCAAGCAAAAGTTGGATCAGATTTCAATTTTCAACTTCATATAGTCTTGCTTGAGAATAGCACGCGTTGGCGGCGTGGCAATAGCCTACAAGAAAATATATATCCCAGAATCCGACCAATGTGGTTATTTATTTTAATAGTATAAAAGTGTATCCTGATACTCGGACCAAAAGAATTTATTTATTGATGAGATGTGGAATTGCAACGAAATAGCGAGATCTTTTGATTTCCGACATATCACCAACTGTATCCAGATTGTTGATTTATATAAATGCCTTATTAAATGAGGCATATCAGATATATTTGTATATCCATGTTGATGTAATTTGATACTTTTCCCACACCCCCTCGGACGCTAAATTTTGGACGAGGCACGTGACCAGTCGCTGCCAGGGGTCTTTCCCAAAGAATGATCCTGGGTACGCTGTAGTGTACAACGGATGGTATATGGTATGTTTGGCAACAAGTTATAACATACCTGGAGCTGGTTGTGACAGAAAATGATGAATTGAAATTCCTTTAGGTACGAAACTTGCAATATTCTCGCTATTAATAAGCACAGTCTTATTTTTTCCAGTAAATTTATTTGCTGACGAGACAGTTTTCAAATTAGAATCACTCCAGTAAATATTATCACCGAATACAGCAATATCAAATGGAAACCGAAGATCATATACTTCAATACGGCGTCGATTGTTCCCGTCCAAATCACTTGATTCAATATAATGCGTTTTGGAATCCAACCAGAACAGCTTATTATTAGGATAATCGATGGTTAGTCCAGTAGGTGACAAGAGTGACGTTGTGATGATATCTTCCTTGTGTTCACCATTCATATAAGCTCGGGAAATCTTTCGGGCATTTAAATTTGTCCAATACAGGTATCTAAAATTAGTGATGGGTTTTAAAGTAAATACCTTAACACGAACGACATGGACTAAATCGCATGTATTTAATGCATAAAACTTCACATGCACATATAGGCCTAACTACAGGAATGCAAGCAACTCAAGATGCATGAAAGAACGGCACTGTTTTAACAGCACATTAGAGCTGGGTAAAAGATGTGGATTGTGGTGCACTTCCACTAAAATTCACACTA